AGGTCTTTTCCAACTGAAACTATTCTACGATTCTTTTTTTTACCTTTTTGCTCCTATTTCCCGACATTTTATGGAGATGGTGCCCATTACTCTGGCAGGTTGCTTGTCAGGTTATTTTTTATGAAGGTCTTGGTGGTGGAGGTTTTTTGTGTTTCAGCAGTTTGGGAGTCCTAAGCTCTGAGCAGTCTGAAAGCTGAGAAACTGAAAATTGAAGTTGTACTGAAAGTAATACATGCTTATGGAAATTTTACACTTTTATCAACAGAGAAGGGTTTAGTTGAAAAAATTGCATTTCTGTATGCTTCTGTGCCTCCAAATGTAATGAAGGATGAGCAAAGGGAAGGGGAATATTTTTCACTCTTTTAGAACTGTAGGAGTTGCCAGGGTGATATAACAAAGATCGTAGAGACAGGCGCCTGTTGGCTGCTGCTTTTGTCATGTGGAACAGTGTTGTGTTTTCCTTTTTTTTGGCAATAGGAACACAAACATGGTAGGTGGAGCTGGGTCAAAATGTCTCTCAACCATCACAGAAAACTTGTGTTTGGAAATCTGAGGAGAATCTGGATGAGCAAGATCACATGTGACATTGTTTTGTAGTTCTGCTTCTTGCTTCTTTCTCTTATTTGTCTTTTTTTTTTTGTTTTTCCCACTTTTTTGTTAAAGGAATCCATTTATCCCCTCAGGAATTTCATAGAGAAGTAGAACAGTATTTGTCTCAGGCCAGCCAAGGACAAAGTGATACCATCTTGCTTGACTGTAGGAACTTCTATGAAAGTAAAATTGTAAGTGTTCCTTGTGTGCTTCTTGCAGTGTGTTCCAGGGGCTGGGGGGAAGCATTTCATGTTGTCAGGGTGTAACCTCACTGGAAGAAGAGATTCTGTATTCAAGATTGACTGTAATATGTACATAATTCAGTTTAGTAGTTAACATTGGACATGAGCAGCAGAGGACCTGCTCCGCAACTTGGCACAGAGCCTGCCTGGCTAAGTGTTTATAGTGTGGGGCAGGAAGAAGACAAAAGTGGTCTATACAACATTAGCAGTGAAGTATCAAGCAGTATAGCTTGAAGTAGCATCATTGTTAAGGATGTTTTCCAGCCTTTTTGCCTTGTCCCATATGTCAAAAAGAATAGGGGCATGCTGCCGTCACATCCACCAGCCTTTCTACACTGTTGTCACTTACGCTTTCTCTGACAGGCATGTTCTGCTCAGCTCCCTATTTTATGTTTGGATGAGGAGACATGCTGTGTCCAGAATCCTCTTACAGATTTGAAGAGGTATTTTGCTGCATAAACACAGCTGAAGAACTGCCTAAAGCAGCTGCAGTGAGCCGAGTGTTCTGGCTCAAAGATTTGTTACTTCCTCTAGTCCAAGGCACAGACCTTCTCATGTAAGACTGCTGGTAATCAGTCACACGCCCATCTGTTGTTATTGCAGGGACATTTCCAGGGCTGTCTGGCTCCAGATATCAGGAAGTTCAGCTACTTTCCCAGCTATGTGGATGAAAACCTGGAGCTTTTTAAGGATAAGCGTGTCCTGATGTACTGCACGGGAGGGATCCGTTGTGAAAGGGGCTCTGCTTACCTACGGAGCAAGGTGAGATTTCATTCTGAGGGCACAAGTGCCAGGCAGTTGAGACTCCTTTAAGGGCAGCTGTCTTTTATTTCGCTGGCAAATTCTTCTTTTGAACATAAACTGCTCAATGAGCAGGTGGGGAGATAACTGTCTCTGATCCATGATTGCCTCGTGTTGTCTGTCAAGCATGTGGGTAGCTTAATGCAGCTCAGGATGATCTGCATGGACTAGTGCCACAGCAGTGACTGCTCTGTGGAAATAATTACATAACCCATTTTGCTGAGGAAGATATTTCTAAGTCTACCCTGCCTGTAGTGTGGTGTTGTAGGAGGGCTTGAGAGCATTCTGCCGTGTTTCCATGAGCTCTGTCCAGGTTATGCTCTGTGGCCACTACTGCACAGCTTGAACATCTCAGATTGGGAAAAATCAGCCAGCCAGTGTTTTCCCAGTGTTGTGGAATTAAATCCAGCACACTGCATTGTTCTGATTCTGCTTTCCACCCCAGTCTTCTCCCATCCTTGCCTTAATGGGCAAGGGAACAGCACACGTAGATGTTCTCCAGAGATTTAAATCTTGATTTTTTTTTTTTTTTTTTTTTTCTCTGCTACACCAGTGTGAACCCTGACAAATTCTGCTCCTGCTAATGGCTTGCTGCATAAAAACAGAACAAGCAGCAATTCACAGAGGTTCAAAAGCATTTGGTCTGGCATGCAGGAAACCTCCCTCAGCTGAGGAGGTTACCCACCTTTGTTTTGATGGTAACATCAAACAGGTTCCTGTCAGCAAGCCGCTGGGTAATGCCTAGTGGCAGTGCCAGGGGCACATGGTGCCATCTGATGGTCACTGAGAAGCTGCTGCTTTTCATTGACCCCTGGCATCTACAACATTTGCTCTGGCACACCGCAACTGCTGCTGTCTCCTTCAGCTTTTCTGCTAATATGCTTTAAACAGGCAGTGTGCAGAGAGGTTTACCAGCTAAAAGGTGGAATTCACAAGTACCTGGAAGAGTTTCCAGATGGATTCTACAGGGGGAAGCTGTTTGTATTTGATGATCGTTACGCCATTTGCTCCAATGAAGATATCATCTCAGGTAGGACTAGTTAATGTAAGTGCAGAAGGCTGGGAAGCTATTGGCAATCATTTCCTCAGAGATGTGCAGGATAGAGGCTGCCAGACTGGTCTGTGCAGTTCTTCCTCATGCTTGCTTTGGCCTTCTAGTGCCATCACTTTTCATCATTGTCGGTGCTATGTCTTTAACATGCAAAGCAGAATTGAGAGAATTTGGGGCCACTAAATAGAGTTCCTCAAAACTGGAGCAGTAAAAGGCAGCACCCCCTGCAGAACAGCTGCTCTTATGAGCAGTCTGCAGCTATGGAGAATGTATGTCAAGCACGCTGGGTGACATTATCCACTGGTAGCTCACAGTGCTGATCAGACTGTGGTTGGCCAAGTGACCAAAGCATTAAGGAGTTCTGCTGTCAGCTGTTCTCAGCTTCAGTAATCTCACAGAAAATCAGCACAGACTGCCAGGCAGTGGGAGAGTGGTGGCACTAAGCTCTGCAACACTTGGCTGTTTTCATGCTTTAAAATTTTCTGTAGCCTGTAGAATTTCAATGACCTCTAGCTGTTGTTGTCAAGAACGTTGCCTGATCTCCTGGCTGGGGTTGCTCTTCAGATAATGTGAATTAAATACCTCTTTTCTTCTCAGTTGCCAGGTACAAATAGTTGGAATTTGGCTCTAGCCTTTTTTAGGAAGCAGTGCTGTTTCTTCTCTGAGTAGGTAACTTTTTGAGCATAACCTCCCATTCTTCCTGTGCAATTACCATATACATCTGGAAGGTGCCTGGCACGGTGCAGAAATGGAATACACTCTGGATACATCACAGCTATCCCTACAGAATTTTCACAAGGGAGTGCTGGGGTAGGCACCTTCTTGATGGTACAGCTGGACTGGGCTGCAGCTTTCAGTTAAAGGGTTAAGACCTGTTTGGTGTGGCAGGACTGTACCAGGACTGCTGATGGCACCCATTTACACCAGCCATTGCTGTTAGGTGGAAGAAAGTCCCATGGCACACTCTTCCCCAGCAGACAATGTTCCTTCACACTGATTTAATTACCTCCACCGTATGTTTCCTCTTTTGGCAGTGAGAATCTTTAAATTTGTCTAATTGGAACTAGAGGAAGCACCAGTGAGCCCTGTGTTCTTTTCCCAAGAGGCAGCTGTCCTAAGTTCTTTACATCAAAATCAGAAGTTTAAAAATTAAGTAGTTTCTAGAAGATAAGTTAAAGCAGGAATTAAAAACCTGGAAGAAAACAGATAGCCACTTAAATGAGAGGCTGCATCCCCCTCAGTGCCACAGAGACCCTTCTGCAAGGGAGACAGATGGGGCAATGTGGGTGTTAACTGTTTCTTTTCTTCCTCCCTCCAGCATGCAAATACTGTGGGACACTGTGGGACCAGTATAAACTTTGTTCCAGCCAGCACTGCCGACAGCTTGTTCTGACATGTCCAAGTTGTTGCAGAAAAGGTCTTACAGCTTGCTGTCCTGTTTGTCAAGAGAAAGAGCTCCAGGTGAATTCAAGGGCTTCAGGACAGACACTTAAGGAGGAATGTGAATGTACAAGGAGAAGGCCAAGGGTACCTATTGAACATGTCTCACAAAGGACGCTGGGTGTGGGAGAAGATTGAGCTGTTCCATTGGCTCACCTGACACGTGCTAATGCAAAAGGCTTCTACAACCAGATCCGTCTGTTAGGTTTGGAAATTATGAAATGTGTTGGCTTGGGAAGTCTTGTTCATATGCTGCCTTTAAGCCTAGAGTATGTCCTGAAAACCACCCATTATTTGACCATAATTACCAGAGTGCCCAGCCCATCACCAGCACTGCAGGATTCCTCTCCTTGGGTACAGTCCTGTAGCATGGCCTCTACCATGGGGATCTTGGAGCAGAGTGTGTGCAATGGGACACAGCTGCTCACAATTTAAAAGGCACATAACAGTTCTGTTATCTTCTTCCTGCATGGAGATCTGTCTGACCTCTCTGTTGATCATGTATGGGCTTCAGTAGCTGGTGCTAGGATGTGAAAACAGCAGATGGATCAGTTGAGTGTTGGTATGTGACTGGATTAGAGGTGAAGATACTTTCCATGTACATGCCATGTGTCTGCATCTCATACTTCATAACAGTGAGAAGCAAGGGGTAGCCACCTGCAGTCAGGGACTTGACTCCTGTGTAAAACTGGCTGAAGGCAGTGTAAGGACCCCTCTTGTAAGGGGGGGGGCAAAGGGCCACAGATGCTGCCTGCCCAGCCCTCCCTGTTGTTCATCCTAAAGGTCACACACCGTTCCTGCTCTGGAACAGGTTGCCCACAGAGGAGGTTGGTGTCCCATCCCTGGCAACATTTGAGGTCAGGTTGAATGGGGCTCCAAGCACCCTGATCTAGTTGCAGATGTCCCTGCTCGCTACAGGGTCTTTGGACTAGACAACCTGCAAAGGTCCCTTCCAACCCAAACCATTCTATTATTCTGTAATTAACAGCAAAAGTAATCTTCCTTCTGATGTTCTGTCTCCCTGGAAACGCATCGCTTCCCTCATCTTGTCCATGAAATATCCAGGGCTCAGCTCCACTTGCACTAGAAGAAAAAAGAGAGAGGAGCACAGAGACTGTCAAAGTACCAGTCCTGTGGCACTGGAAGTGGTGCTGACGTGTGCCAAACGTCAGCAGCAGCTATAAGGGGATAGCAGGGTCCTCTATGCAAATTAAATAATTCAGGATTTGGGGAGCATTTGTGCTTTGTAAATATGGGTTGTTTTTCAAAAGCTGTGAGATGTTTATGCAGTTTCCAGCTGCTACTAATGGAGAAATTGAATTTGAGGGGATCCACAGCATATGAGCTCAGAATACTTCTCTGCCTCCTGCTTTGTGTGCCTGATGCTGTAGAATTTACAGAAAGGTTTTATTAATAGTGTAGAAGACATGTCTTGACTGAAAAATGTCTTTGAAACTTACTGTCATTTTTGGTACTGAATAGTAGTCAGTTTTCGGAAATGAAGATCACTTACTGGTTTTATGGGGATTTTTACTGGCAACTGCTTTTAAAAGCAAGAAAACAGTTTACTCAGGTTTCTGCAGTTGCTTAGTGACAGTTAGGGCAACGTTATTTCCATATGGATTGCAGCTTTCTCCCACAATGCTGTGAGTTCAGCAAGGCTTTGTTGTTGGCTTGACTAGCAACTTAAAAGACATGGGCATTGGTTCCATTAAAGGCATGGCAAGCTTTCTTCTCACTTTCAGGGTTGCTACTAAGAAATCAACAGTTCAGCAGCTGTCTTTATGACCATTCCTTTTGTGAAACAAAACCTTAAAAACTTTAAAAACTTAAAAAGGAATGTCTCCTTTGGGAATCTTTTTTAGGATGGTATTTACTATTAAATAGTAGTAAAATCTGTGCACAATCCATAGTGGAGAAAAAATTGGAAATTTCTCATCAGTAGACGTCTTCAGCAGAAGTCTGAGCAGTACTTAGGGTCTCCTGGCATCTAGCCTCCCAAGCTCTGCTGGCCAGTTAACCTCTGTGCTTTTGAGGACTGGAATATTTGTGGAAAATGATAGCTCTTCTTACAGGCCTAGTTTCAAGCACTGCTGGGAGTGCTCCAGCTTGCATATTATACTCTTTTCTTTATGTATTAGACTAAATAGAACAGAATTTTATAATTCAGTCTATCATCAAGTCTGGAAGGCTGTAATCTACTTGGAAGGCTGTTTCGGTATCACCTCTCGGTACAGAACGGTAACTATATTTTGTGTGTACACTTCTAAAACTCTTATAATGATAAATAACTCTTAGTGCTTCCGTTGTAATTTTTCAGTTACTACACAAATATGCTTCACCCATTACATTGGAGGTGCTTAATTCTAGAGGCAAATGCTGAAAGCTAGCTAGCTGTCTGCCACATGGTAGACCTGTCTACAAGGTACAATTCTCCTGGGAGCTCCTGGCAGCTGGAGACTCTACCTCAAAGGCAAGGAGGAGCCATGGGGCCCCTTCTGGGCCTTGCTGCACTAAGGCAAAGGAAGAGAAGGGTTTGAGATGTACTGGTAGAAGCCTATAAAGCCAGGTTCCCTCTGCTGCAGAGAGGGGAGAGCCAGGTAAGAGACATCCTTAGCCTCCCTCTTGCAAGCTAGCCCATGAGCAGCTTCTGTATCCTGGCTTCTGGAATAGCTTTGCCAAACTGACACAAATAAGGATTCGCCACGTGAAACGCTGTGTGGTGGGATCCAGGCACCTCAGTGGCCGTGCCTGAGAGAAGGCACGTTGGCTCCAGGAGAGGTCACAGTGAAGCAGGACTGGCTGTGACTGCCAGATGACACAGTCAGCAGATGGCTTCTTCCTCTTCCTGGAGAGCTGCTGGGACAAACAGGGATCCATTTGCTCCTAAATATCACCATTTTGTTGCTCCATCGCCACACAGCCTGATGCCTTTCACCACACAGCCTGATGCCTCTCAGCATGGCCTGTCTCTGCTGCACAGCTCTTGGCTCTCACATCTTTCAGCAAAGCAGGTCTTGCAAGGATCAGCTGAGGAACCTGCAGTGATCCTGCCAGCTTAATGTAGGGTTGGGCTGCATGGTTAATTTGGAAGTTGCCACAGTGAAACAGGACAAGGTTTGGTTGTTTGTTTGTTTTTTTGGTTTTGGTTTTTTTTTTTTTTTTTTTTGGTTTTTTTTTTTTTTTTTTTTTTTTGTTTGTTTTTTTTTTTTTTTTTTTTCCAAGAGCTAGTTTTCTTCAGTCAGGAAAAAAAATGCTGTTGTATCCATGGTAGTGTCACCTCTTCTGCAGATATATCTCCTTGCCTGTCTGGCTTTCTCAGCACCACCAGGATTTCCCAGGATAAGATTTATTTGGGTTCTTCTAAAACTAATGGAAGAGGTGAGTCTGTACCATGCAGATCTGAGCGGGTGGCTCAGCGGAAGCTGTGGCTCTGGTCTGATGATTTAGTTGACCATTCTGAAGTCTTTGCAGTACATGTGGAAGAAAGAAGCTGTCTGCCAATTTTTTTTTTTTTTTTTTTTAAATACATTTTCAAGTATTTTTCTTCTGTACTGTTTTCTGATATGGAATTTGCAGGGTGGAGGTAAGAAGCTATAGTGAAGCATTATTACTTGACAGTACTGGCACATTTATTAAGATTTGAAGAGCAACAAATATGTTTCCCACACTGCTGATGAAAGTGTAGTGTTTCTCTGCTTGGTCAGAGCTGAATTGTGGGTGATACTCATACATCAGCTCTGAAGAAATCTGGAATTTTTGCTGGAATAGGTGTAAAAGGCTGCAAAGTTTTACTCAGTAGATGTGTACAGACAGATTTCTAGCAAGTGAGAATATCTTCTAGGACATGTTGTCATTATACCTAGAGCACAGCTTCAGTGCAGCAGTGCTTTTCTGCCAGGAGACACCTCTTACCAAGCAGGATCCCACCCGCCTTAACAGCAGGATTTTGGATGGGATGGTGCTGGGTCCAGTCCGCTGTGTGCCCGGGAGCTAGGCGAGCCTGTGGGGAATTCCCCCTTGGAGGCTGTCTGACAAAAACCTTCAGACTGTGCAGCGTAACTTCAGGGCACGGGCATGTGTTCAACAGCTTTTCCAGCACGCAGCATCTACTGTTGCTTTGATGCAGCTATTTGGGACAGCAGTGAAAGAAACAGTCCCTAGCACAACAAAATTTAATTAACAGCCATTAAGACAAAACAGTGAAGGGAGACAATTTTACTTGTTTCCAGTGAGTATCTGGACACATGCTTTTAACAGAAAACTGAAGGGAGTGGGGATTAGAACGGAGGGCTCTGGTTTGCTGATCAGTTTGGCCATCTCTGTGGGGTTAGGATTTGTGTCACCAGACGTGTGTCAGTTAGAAGGATGTTAACCCATCCTAAATGGCTCAGTTTTTGAAACTTTTATAGTTGGTGGCCTTAAATTCCATTTAATCAGTCAGGGGGTGGAGATCAATCGCTTTTTTCTAAGAAACGGATGCATTTGAAACGGCATCTCCAACTGACTCAGCAAATGTTGGCTAAAAAAATGTAATTCACAGTTTTTGAAATTAGCCATGTTTTCAGGTAGTAGAAGTGCTTGTTAAAACTAGTTGCTCCTCTATAGCTAGTTGAGATCGACTTGGAAAGAAAAATAAAGTATTTTTTATATATTTCTAGTAAAGTTTGTGTGGAACAGTTGTTATCTTTCACTCATGCATACCACATCCTAACTGTATGAAACACTGTGCAGGAATTTTCTAGAAAAATTAGGTCCCAGGTTAATTAAGAATCACTTTTACACTGGGATATACTCTAAACTGAGATTGCGTAAAATTGGCAGGTTGTTACTGGCTTGAATAGCTTCCAACTCTACAGAAAACATCAACAGTCCTACTGGATAAAATCTCCAACTCCAGCCACTAGGTAATTTAAACTGTTAGTGCATAAAACAGAACCGAGGCACCACAAATACTCTGTCAAGGCACTTATTGCCTTTAGATTTCCACAGTGTAGCACAGATCACCGGGAATGACCTCCACAGGCAGGAACTACACTCCAGTTCTGCACTTGGGAAAAATAGGCCCATTCAACTCTGCAAGTCTTCTCTTCCTCACTGAAAAAGAAGCAGAAGAAGAGGAGTCAGCGGTGGCAGCAGGGAGGTGCGTACATCAGGCTTGGCTAGCCACTGTGGAAAGGAGCTCAGAGATGAACTTTCTGCCAGGA